CATCATCATCGTCATTGTAATCATCATCGTCATCGTAATCATCATCGTCATCATCATCTTCATCGTAATCATCATCGTCAGATGATAAGTATCGCGCCGAAATGCCAATCATCAATGTGTTGAAATAATGATGACAATAATTATCCATCATCATAATCGCCCTTGTCATGTAACCGTCAAAATCAACACAATTGGGTGGCAGCGCATTGGTGACGCGAGTGCATCACCGCAAGAACCCCGTGGGTTTGATTCCAGACACGGGGGCGCCAGCTGTGCGCGTGGAGTTCTCTCTCCCCCGGTCCTCCGGGGGGTCTCCAGATTTCCTCCCAAAACCTCTCACGGCGCGTAGATGTTAACTCCCTCGCCTGGTACGCAGGAGGTCGTGGGTTCCATCCCGACCCTGACGCCCGCTGTACATTTGGAGTTTGCGTGTCTCAATCTCTCTCCCGTGTCCTCCGGGTGTACCCTCCACATTGAGAATCAACGTCACGCGTTTAGAGTCTTTGGCTGCCGCACATTTCCACAAGATGATGAGAAGCCACTTCGTTGAGCTATCATTTGTGACCATGTCGCTTTTGGAAAAAAATGGAGCTATAGAGCTCAGTGGGCCTGACCTGGTCAATTAAAATTCGTTCCGTTTAGTTTACAAGGTCACCGGTATTGAACCAAAACATCTCAACAAGCAAAATCATTCAATTGCGATCACACAGCAGCAGCAACATCGCCCCTCCCCCCCACCAGTGCGAAAAGTTGGCAGGACCCTCCTGAAAATTAGTCCTGAGACTCAACGAGGCTTGGTGAACGAGCAGAATAATCATCATCCTCAGTAACAGCAGCAACAGTCAAGTTATCAGCAGCGGCAGCTACAATACAATCATCATCATGATCATCATCAGCAACAATAGAATCAGCGGTAATACAACACCATCGTGTCATCAGCAGTGGCGACTGGAGTAAAATGATCAGCCAACATCGTCAACAGCAGCAGCATGCACAGTCGTCGTCATCGTCGTCATCAGGAGCAGCAGCAACAGGATGACGATCAACAGCTGTGGCATCCACGGCATATCCATCGTTATCAACACCACAGAGACGCCCGGTCATGAGTTGGCCGGCGTGATCAGCGAGTGTGAAGTGAATTTGGGTCTTGTCTCTTCACAAACGAAAATCGGGGGGTGGGAGGGGAGGGGGAATGTAATTACCAATTAACTTGGGTACCGCCAAAATTCCCTCTGATCCAGACCTCGCCACGGTCGCGCTCAATTTAGTTCTAAAATTGTCCGGCTAAATGAGCGGCGTGGCACGTTCCTGTGGCGAGGGTGGAGGTGGTGGTGGTGGTGGTGGCACCGCGAGCTGCCCACAACACCTCGGGGTCGGCACCCCCCCCCCCCCCTCCCAGAGGGTCGCTGCTTCGGTTCAATCCTCCGGGGGCGCAGCGGTGGAACCGACGATGATCGGGTCGGTCATCACGTGTGCCGTGGGGATAAGTTAAACTAAACTATAAACTTGATTTGAAGCCTCCTGCATACCAGGCGAGGTAGTTAACATCTCCTAGCCACCGCGACATCCATTAGGTAGATCAAATGCCACTCTCCAGAGCTCCACTTTACCGTGGAGGCCTCCACCCTTCCTCCAGCAGTGACGTGAGCGAGCAGTTGCAGGGGCCGCGCCGTTACCCATCGCGTGTGTGTGCCACCTACAGGCGAATGATCCTAATTCTCCCCGAGGGGGAGGGGGGGGGGTGCGGCCTGTCCGACGTTTCGCTCCACGTGGCCCGGGAGCTTTTGTTCATTATTTCAACTGCCGCGGACGGGAGATCGAGTCCAAATGGCGACTTCTGGCGGTGGCGGCAGCGGCGGCGGCGCTATTCGTCCATAAACACCGTGGCACCAACCCCGTGGTGTATACCCAGGACAGGCCGTGGTATGGAGAGGAGAATCCAACGCCGCCTTCTAAGGACTCTGGGGACAAGGCTTTGTTCCTGAAGGGGGTGATCGCGATCTTGCCGCTGTGCAGCTACCAGAATTGTGGAACAACGCTTTGACTTTCGTAATGAGAGCACACGGCAGATCTGAAACACGGCAGGACTAATACTTCCGCCGTGGCTGACCATTGCTATAACGCTGTGGGCTCTCATGATATTGTTTTTTCCGAGACCAAGGTGCTCTGCAAATCTTTGGGCTACTATCAAAGGTTTGTTCATGAAGCCATCTAGATATATAAACATAGACATAACTTCAACCGAGAAGATGAATAAAAATTAAGCAATCATTGGAAGGATGTTATTAACCAGGTAAAGCCTTAACTGCTTTTTAAGTTTGCCTTCATATCCGCATCTCCAGTTTCTTCAGCCTCCTACCCCCCAGCCCCGCTCACTTCCCAGGCCCGGCATGGTGTTGCACTCGGTGTTGGAGCTTGCACTTCTCCACTCCCGCTACCCCACACCCCCACCCTCTCTATCTCTCCTCCCTGGCTCACCCCCCCCCCCTCTCTTACCTATATAGCCTCTTGTTACAAGCAGCCCCCTTTTGTCCACTTCAGCAACTTGTTTGTTGCTTCTACATTTGAAGCTTTTGTGACTGCAAGGATTCATACTCTTAGGTTTTTTCGGTAAAGTCACGTAGGTAAAAAATAAACTCTGATCAAAACTATCACGTTGCCATACATAGCAGGCATGACCAAAAAGATCTCCAAAATTCTAAACAAACATAAGATCCAAGTCCGATTCAGTACAGTACATAAAATCCGTGATCTAATTCCATCTGTGAAGGATGTCATTCCTGACTTGCAATACCCTGGAGTATATAAACTGAGTTGCAGCTGTGGTGATTGTTACATTGGGGAAACGAAACGTCATATCTCTGATGGTGTCCGCGAGTACAAGTCAGATCTGAAACACGGCAAAATTAAGTCTTCCGCCGTTGCCGATCATTGCTACAACGCTGTGGGTTCTCATGAGATTGTCTTTTCCGAGACCAAGGTGCTCTGCAAACCGTCTGGCTACCATCAGAGGTTTGTGCACGAAGCCATCCAGATATACAAACACAGACATAATTTCAACCGTGATGATGGGTATGTTTATTCTGGACACTGACGCCAGCGATACGGGCATAGGCACTGTGTTGTCACAGAAAATTGAGGGGGTAGAAATAGTCGTTGCATAAGGCAGCCGTGTGCTGTCCCCGGCGGAGCAGAGATATTGTGTAACGCACAGGGAATTGTTGGCGATTGTACACTTCGTGCAGTTGTATAGGCCGTATTTGTACGGAAGAAAATTCTTGGTCCGCACTGACCACGCGGCGCTGCAGTACTCCTTGCGAATCGATCAATCCTCAGGTCAAATGGCCCGGTGGCTTGAGGTCCTGCAGGGATACTCCTTTACGGTCCAGCACAGGAAAGGGACGCGTCATGTCAACGCGGACGCTCTGTCCCGATTGCCTCAGCCGTCAGGCTCGTGTAGATGTACTGAGGGATCGCTGCGCTGCGGTCCACCGCTGCAGGGCATTCCGATCATGGCCGCTGCAGCCGATTCAGGCCCAGTTGACGGGGCCCCTGCTAAAGAGCCCGGGTTGCTTGGATTGTCACGGGATTGTTGGGCGTGCTTACAGGCAAACGATTCTTCGCTTACCAGAATGAGGCTTCGGGCCTCCCGTTCCAAAGAGTCGGAGGATTGAGCCTTCCTTCGGCTCATAGATAACCTCCTAGTGAGGTGGGATGTCGTGTTGCAGAAATTTTGTATTGTTGTGCCACTGTGCTTGAGGGGAAAACTTATTCGCGGCACGCACGAGCGGTTGATGCACTTGGGTGAGAAGAAAACCACGTTGACTTTGAGTAACGATTTTTACTGGCCGGGGTTGCAGAACGATGTCCATTTGTACATTAAGGCCTGTTACGAGTGTGCACGGCGGAAGGCGCCGGCGCAACCATGTTGAGTACCGTTGCAGTCGATACGGGTTTCACGGGTAAACAAAATTGTCGCCCTGGATATTTTGGGACCGTTCCCCGTTACCCCACGGGGTCACAAATATTTGCTGGTGGGGGTTGAGTACCTCACTCGGTGGCCTATGGCATGGCCGCTAGTGGACCAATCGGCAGGATCGATCGCAGAGGCCTTTCTGCAGGGTTACGTTTTTGATAAGGGTGCTCCGGAGCACCTGCTATCTGATCAGGGCAAAACATTTTCTTCCCGCCTGTTGAAGGAAGTGTGTGACGCATTGGGTACGAGGAAAATTCAGACGTCCCCGTACCACCCGCAAACCGACGGGATGGTTGAGCGTCTTCATAGGACGTTGACGTCTATATTGTGCCAGCAGGTTAATTCGGCTCAAACAGATTGGGATCTGTATGTTCCGGCGGCCCTGGCCGCTATAGATTAGCCCCGCACACCTCAACGGGGTATTCACCCTTCTCTTTG